TCTATTGGTATAAATTGTTCTCTGAGGACTGCCTTTGCTTGTCCCAAAGGTTTTGGTATGATGTGTTTTCATTCTTATTTGATTTTAGGAATTTTTTGATTCCATCTCTGATTTCTTCTATTACCAAGTGATGTTTAAGCAGGGTATTATTCAGTTTTCATGTAATTGATTTTTTTTCTTGCTGTTTCTGTTGTTAATTTCTACCTTGCTGGCATTGTGGTCAGAGGAGATACTTTGAATTATCTCAATGTTTTGGATCTTGTTGAGCATTGCTGTGTGGCCTAAGTTGTGGTCTGTTCTGGACAACGTTCCATGTGCTTTGGAAAAGAATGTGTACTTTGCAGCTGTTGGATGGAGTGTTCTATGTATGTCTATGAGGTCAAGTTGGCTGATAGTGCTCTTTAGGTCTTCTGTATCTTTGCTGAGTTTCTTTTCAGTTGTTCTGTCCTTTACTGAGAGTGGTGTGTTGAAGTCTCCTATTACTGTGGAACTGTCAATGTCTCTTTTCAGTGTTGTTAGAGTTTGTTTTATGTATTTTTGAGCCCTGTCATTGGGTGCATTGATGTTTATTATGGTTATATCTTCATGATGGATCATCCTTTAATCATTACATAGTGTCCTTCTTTGTGTTTTATGGTGGATTTTGTTTTAAAGTGTATTTTATCTGAGATTAATATCGCCACTTCTCTTTTTTGGTAGTTGTTAGCTTGATATATTTTTTTCCAACCTTTGACTTAATAAATTCACATCTTTGTTTCTAAGGTATGTCTCTTGTAGACAGCATACTGATGGATCCTGTTTTCTTATCCATTCTGTCACTCTCTGTCTCTTTATGGGTGCATTGAGTCCATTTATTTTCAGTGAAATTATTGATAGATGTGAGTTTGTTGCTATCATTTTGTAGTGCTTTTTTTTGTGTTGTTGACATTTTCTTTGTTCTTCTTACTCTCCTGTGCTGAGTTACTTTTATTTGTGGATTCGTTTTGCATTTCTTTTGTTTTTTATTGAGACTTTATGTTTTTCCTCTTTATTTTTATGAGTATGTTTGTTGACTTTCTTTGTGGTTACCATGAAATTTACCCTTATCTTTCTAAGTTTGAAATAGTCTGTTAATACTTGGTATCGCCTTGCCTTCCTCTCCATTAGAAGGTTCTATACCTGCACCATTTATTCCCTCTTTTATTGTTCTGAAGTTGTTGTCATTTGCTCTGACTTAACTGCTCTGATTTCCTGCTGTTATCGGGACATTCAGTAGTTATTTTTCTCATTCATTGATTGTAGCTTTGTTTCGTCCTTTTTTTTTTTTTTTTTTTGGCTATGTCTGAGCAAGCAGGCTGTGTGTTCTCTGTTTGCTCATCTTGGGGCATGATACTTTTTGCCTCCTCCAATTGGCAGGGTCAGTCACTCAGATATGGTACAGAAGCACTGGTCTAGCTGAAGGGGAGTTACTGGGATGGGTTGTTTGTGGCACTTACTACAGCCACCAGGGTGGGTCGGTAATCAGTGCAGGGTAGGTTCCAGTAGGCCGTGCCTGGGCTGCTTGGTGGTGTGATGTTAAGCACACGGTGCAGGTAGGCAGGATGTTGGGGGGAGATTGTTATGTGTGGAGCTAAGATGGATATGGGAGAGAGGAGAGAGGAACAGGAGCCTAAAACATACAAACAAAAAAGAGTGCTAGGGGAGCTTGCCGTTAGAGTAGAGAGATGCGAGACTATGAAATGGAGAAAAACAAAAAGGGGAAGAAGAAGAGAAAAGAAGAAAAGGAAAGAATGAATAAATAAAAATCAAAAAGGAAAAAGAACAGCAAAGCTTCCAGGGATCCCACTGGTGCGGCTATGAGGTCTGGGGAAGTTGTTCTCAGGTGTTGCAGTACAGCCTGGCTAGAAGGTGTAGAGGTATTCAGTGCCAGGTATACAAGGAACAGAAAGAGAAGGAAGGTATAGAGAGACGCGAAACTAAGTAATGAAGAAAGAAAAAGGGGGAAAAGAGGGAAAAGCAAGCAAAACAAATAAAAAAAAAAGAACAAGAAAAGCCCCCAAAAAAACAGAAAAAGAAAAAAAACCCAACGAAAAATGAAATGTCCTCAGGGATCCCTCTGCGCATCTGCGCAAGCCGAGGGGGTATGTTCCAAGTCGCACAGCACTGCCCGGCCAGAATGGGCTCCCAACTCAAGAAAAGTAAAAGAAAACAAACAATTCAAAAGAAACGAACAAAAGCCCCGGGATCCCACCAGCGTGGCAGCCCAGACCAGGAAGGGGTTCCACACTCAAAGGGAGCTCCGCAGCCCCTCAGGAAGAAGCAAAGATGGCGCACAGAGCCAGGTTTTTGAGCGAAAGGAGGGGGAAGTGGTGAGAGGTAAGGAAGAAACCAAAAGAAGCAGAAAAAATGGAACACCAGCAGGCAACAAATGGCACTCAGAGAGCCAGCCAGTGTGGGCGGGTGGAATCCAAGCAGCCGGAGCTTCCCAGACAAGAGACTGTGGCTGCAGGAAGCAGAGGAGGCGGAGTGGGTATGAAGAAGGGTGGGAAAGCGTATTTCGCAAATTACCAGTTGTTTTGTCTGCCACTGGAAGCTCCGTGAAGCTGCTTTCTCGTACCCCCTATTTGCTGGACTCCGATAGGAATCCAAGATGTCGGATCTGCGCTGTGTTAACTGATAGAGGACCTCTGCATGAATCTCTCCTCGCTCTCCGTTTTCTGTCAGTTTTCTCACTCCATTTGGTGCTTGGCTGAGTTCATTATCTCCTCATTTGATGTTTTAGGGTTTCAAGATTGCTGTTTTCTCTGATTGGCGTAGTTTTTCGGATCTTTGCTGTGGAGGGATGGCGTGGTGCTTCTGCCTAGGGCGCCATTTTGCCGGAAGTCTCTCTTGTCTGTATTTTTTCACTGGTTCTCTAATACCCCAGCAGAGATCTCCAGGGTGAGGTGTGTATACTGTATAGAGTGCTCAGCACAATCCACTGACGTATGGGAAACATTTACAGGAACCTATTTATACTAACTTAAAAGGCACTAAGCTTTCTTGGTATTATATTAACTGACAATTTGTGTATATAATTTAAAAATAAATACAAATGAATCAGGGTATGAGAATAACATATTTAGTAATTGTGTATCCCCAAAACCGTAAGACAAAGTTAGGCCGTAATAGGCATCCTTTATAGCATTATGTTTTTAACGCTCAACAGGAAACATGGTAAAAGTTAGTTTTCAATGGTATTTTCCATGTCACTTTTTTCTGGGCCCTTCAGATTGATCAGAAATCTACTGTTACAGGCATCAGTGTCATTCAAGGACGTGGCTGTGGAGCTGACCCAGGAGGAGTGGCAGCACATGGGCCCTGCTCAGAGGACCCTGTACAGAGACGTAATGCTGGAGAACTACAACCACCTCGTCTCAGTGGGTGAGCACACCTTACCATGTGACCCCCTCTAGGGTGCATTTCTTTTTTTAAAAATTTAATGACTTATTGAAGTGTATGTAACATAAAATAAAAATCAGCAGTTTTCAGTGTACAAGTTGATGAGTTTTGAGAAATGTATACACTTGATTAGCACCATCAAAATCATGATTTAGAATATTTCCATCAGCCCTTTCGAATGAGTCCCTTCCCTTCATTCTTACCACCCGCCCCTCCTGTCCCCTGAAAAGCCTTGATTTCTTTCAGTTGCAGTGGTTTTGCCTCTCTTTGAATTAAATGAAATCATAAAGTATATATCCTCTTTTGTCTGACTTCTTTCACTTAACAGTAATTTTGAAATTCATGCATGTTGTATGTATCAGGAATTTATTCTTTATATCTTGAGTAGTATTTCTTTGTATTCATGTACCACAATATGCTATCCTTTATCTGTTAATAGATGTACAGCTTTTTTCTACTTTGGGGCTATTGGAAATAAAGCTATTATGAACATTTACATACAAGTCTTTGTATTGATATATGTTTCGTTTATCTTATGTAAATACCTAGGAATGTACTTTCTGGGTGTTCTAGTAAGCGTATATATAACTTTACCAGAAACTCAGATGTTTCCAAACTGGCTATGCTGTTTTCATGCCTATTAGCAATGTATGACAGTTTTCATTGTTCTTTATTTATCAGTGTTCGGTTTGATAAGTCTTACTACTTTTAGGAGTCCCTGCATGGTGCAAACAGTGTAAGCACTAGGAAGTTTGAGTTCACCCAGGGATGTGTTGGAAGAAAGGCCTAGTGATCTACTTCTGAAAAATCAGCCACTGAAAACCCTAAGGAGCACAGTTCTACTTTGACACATGTGGGTTGCCATGAGTCAGGGTTGACTTGGCAGCAACCAGTTTTTATTATTTTTAACCATTCTAGTTGGTGTCTGGTTGCTTTTTATTGGGTTTTAATTTGCATTTAATTTGATGAAGTTGAACATCTTTTACTGTGCTTTTTGGCCATTCATCGGTCGTCTTTAATGAAGTATGTGATCATATCTTTAGCCCATTTTTTTGTTTAGGTTAGTTTTGTTTTTCTTTTTGTCTTTTTGTTGGGTTGAAAGAGCTCAAAAGTTTTGCACACTGTCTTCATCTGTGCTTTCTTTTTATTTTCTTAATAGTGTTTTGAAGAAGAAAAAAATTTGTTTTTTTATATATACTTTTTAAAAACTATTGAAATAATTACAGATTCATAGAAATTAGCAAAAATTATACTTTTCACCAAGTTTCTCCCAATATGTACATCTCATGTAATATACTGTCAACATCAGTAAATTGACATTGGTACAATGTATATGAATAGTTTTATACCATTTTATCACATGTGTAGATTCTTATAACCACAACCACAATCAAGATACAGAACTATTTTATCACCACAAAGATCTCTGTCATGCTACCCCTTTATAGTCATACCTGCTCACTCTCTCCCACCATCCCCAGTCTCTGGAAACTACTAATCTGTTCTCCATTGCTATACTTTTGTCATTTGGAGAATATTATATAATGGAATTGTATGTATTTGGTATGTTGAGATTGGCTTTTTCACTCAGCATAATGCTTTTGAGATTCATCCACGTTGCAGTGTATAGCAATAGTTCATTCCTTTTATAGCTGTATAGTATTCCATTGTATGAATGTATCACAGTTTGTTTAGCCATTCACCCATTTAAGGACATTTTGCTTGTTTGCAGTTTTAGACTATTAAAAATAAAGCTGCTATGAACATTCATGTACAGGTTTTTGTATGAGGCTAAGTTTTCATTTCTCCGGAAAATATACTTGGAGTGTAATTGCTAGTTCATATGTATGGTGTGTTTAGTTTTTTAAGAAACTGCCAGACTGTTTTCCAGAGTGGCTGTACCATTTGTATTTCCACCAGGAATGTATAAGAGGTCCACTTACTCCCTATCCTTGCTAGTACTTGGTATTGTCACTTTTTTTTTTTTTTTGTAATTAGTAGTTGTAATAAATGTATAGTGATCTCTCATCACGCTCTTAATCTGTTATTTTTTTAATGGCTAGTGATGTTGAAATCTTTTCATGGGATTATTTTCCATTTACATATGCTTTTCCATGAAATGTCTCTTCATGGCTTTTGCTCATTTTTTAATTGAAGGTTTTTGTTTTTTTAACTATTACATTTTGAGAGTTTAATAGTCTAAATGTGTTGTTTAACTGATAGGTGGGTTGCAGATATTTTCTACTGTCTGTAACTTGTCTTTTCATCCTCTTCTTAGGGTCTTTTCAGAAGAAGAGGTTTTTTTCTTTTTTTTTTTTTTTGATCAAGTCATGTTATCATTTTTAAAAAATGAATCATGCTTTTGGTGTCATGTCTAACAACTTTCACCAGGTCCTTGGTCCAAAGATTTTTCCCTATTTTTGTTTCTAAAATTTATATCACTTTATGTTTTTTATTTAAATCTATGGTCCATTTTGAGTTAATTATTGTATAGGATGTGAGGTTAAAGTTAAGGATCATGATTTTTTTTTTTTTTTTGCCTATGCATATCCATTTGCTCCAGCATTATTATTCTTTTTCCATCAAACTCCTTTTCACCTTTGTCAAAAATCAGTTGGCTGTACTTGTGTGGGTCTATTTCTGCATTCTCTTTTCTGTTCCAGTGATCTGTGTGTCTATCTCTCTCCCAAGAGATATACAACCGTAGTTGTATATCAAGCTTTAAAATCAAGTACAGTGATTCCTTCTAGTTTATACTACTTTATTAATATTGTTTTAGCTATTCTAATTCCTTTGTCTTTGCATATACATTTTGCAATAATATTGTCATTATGTAAAAAAAATCTCGCTGAGTTTTTCATAAGAATTACATTAAGCCTGCATATCAATTTTGGAAACACCGACATCTTTACTTTGTTGAGCTTATAGTTTATAAACACAGACTATAAGACATTTAGTCTTTTTCCATTTATGTAGATCTTTCATTTCTCCCTTTAGTGTCGGTTCAGTAGTTTTCAGCGTAAAACTTCCATACATATTAGATTTATACCTAAGTATTTCATTTTTTCAGTGATTTTTAGTGGTATTGTGTTTTTTATTTTAGTTTCCTTGAATTCATTGCTAGTATATAGAAGTATAATTTTTTTTTTTTTTTTTTTGGTATCTTGAGACCTTGCTGAACTTGCTTATTAGTTTTAGTTTTTCTGTAGATTCTTAGGGATTTTCTCTGTAGACCATCATGTCATCTGCAAGTAGGACAGTTTAATATCGTCCTTTCTGATCTGTATGCCTTTTATTTCCTTTACTTTATTGAGCTGGTTAGGACTTCTAATACTATGTTGAGTGAGAGTGGTGAGGGAAGACATCCTTGCCTTGTCTCTGACCCTAGGGAAGAAAGCATCCAGTCTTTCACCTTATGGTGTATTTTATTCCTGGTTTTCTGAAAGTATTTAAATGGACATTGAATTTTGTCAAATGCTGTTTCTGCATCTGTTGATATGATTATGTGGGGTTTCTTCTTTATCCCATTAAAGTGGTAAACTACATTGACTTTTTTAATATTGAACCAGCCTTGGGTACCCGGTATAAAGCTTACTTCGTCATAGCATATAATTATTTTTATATATTGTTCCATTCTATTTGGTGATATTTTGTTAAGTAGTTTTGTGTCTGTGTTCATGGGAGAAATTGGTCTGTAGTTTTCTTTTTTGTACTGTCTCTGTCTGGTTTTCATATCAGGGTAATGCTGGCCTCAAAAAATTAGTTGTGAAGTATTCCCTCGTCTTCTGTTTTCTGGAAGAGTTTGTGTAGAATTGGTGTTATTCTTTTTTAAATGTTTGGTAGAATTCTCTAGTGAAACCATCTAGGCCTGGAGATTTCTTTTTGGAGAGTTAAAATTACAAATTCAATTTCTTTAATAGTTATAAAGCTGTTCAAATTATCAATTTCTATTGTGTAAGTTGTGGTATTTTGTGCTTTTCTAAGAATTAGTTCATTTTATCTAAGTTGTCAAATGTGTATGTGTACAGTTGTTCGTTGTTAATATTGTTAGTTGCTGTCAAGTCAATCCTGACTCGTGGCAACCCCATGTGTGCAGAGTAGAACTGCTCCATAAGGCTTTCAAAGCTGTGACCTTTCAGAAAGAGATAACCAGGCCTCTCTTCTGAGGTGCCTCTTGAGTGGGTTTGGACCTCCAACCTTTTGGTTGGTACTTGAGCGCTTAACCATTTGTGCCACCCAGGGCACAAACTATTCCCTTATTGTCATTTAATGTCTGTAGGATCTGTATTTATATTCCTGATATTGGTGATTCTGTCTTTTCTTTTTTCTTTGTCAGTCTTGTTAGAGATTTACCCATTTTATTGATCTTTTCTGTCAACTAGCTTTTACTATCACTGATTTTCTGATTTCAATTTCATTGATTTTTGTTATTTTTTCTTCTGCTTGTATTGGGTTCATTTTGCTCTTATTTTTATAGTTTCTTAATGTGAAATTTTATACTATTTGAGATGTTTCCTCTTTTCTAATATAAGCATTTTAGTGCTGTCAGTTTCCCTCTCAGCACTACTGTAGCTGCATCCTAGAAATTATCAAGTTACTGTAACAAATCCCTTAAATATGTATATCTCTTGTGGTTCTATTTCTCTGATTGAACCCTGATTAATATAGTATGTCATCTTGAAAAATGCAGTTCAAGCTCAACAACTGTTTGCGTGATACCCACTACTTGACAGACTTATATGGAGTTGTCAAGATATTTAATAGCACAGCCTTAGTTTTCTCATTGAATCATTCTTCTTATTTATAGGGTAGTTTGAGTACTTACAGTGCAGGCACTGGGTAAATACTAGAAAAGTAATTATGAACCAAATAGGAAAAGCCTCTGCTTTCAGGAATCTCAGCTGCTTTTAGGAACCTCAGCTTTTTTTGAGGAAAACTAAAACTAATTAAATTATGTACATAAATGTAACTGTAAATTTGGT